TCCTTTCATTTGCGCAATTAATAAGCAAACTTTTTGTGTTTGAGAAATAAAACTTCATCGAGAAATTCCAATTAAAATATACCTAATTTAGCACTAATCCATAAAGGTTTATTAATAAATACTGTATACTGAAGTGGGTAAATCGGCGTGTCTGTCGCTCCAACGGACAAAACCTCGCGTAACGATACAATTTCAATATAATAAGGCTTCGAGGCGTGGATTACGATTTGGGCGAGTATAATTTTTTTTTAAGGTGTTTATTTAATTGTTCTTGCTTATGCGCTTTATTAACAAGACTCTACACTTTTTCGGGTATCGCCAAAGATGAGTATTTTATTAAAAAAAATTTTGTTTGCTTTTATACATGTTCGCTATTACTAACTAATTTTATCGGTTTTCACCATTCCGCCTCTCTAATCGTACGATCGCAGGTTTCACTTGACCGGGTAAATATTTTATTCTATTTGTTTAATTTTATTTTATTTTAATGTAATTATACTAACCCGCCCATCTGTAACCTGGATCATGCCACTCTGAAACATCGTGTTCACGATCGTAATACCTTCCCCGATTTGGGTACATTCGCCTTGTCTCGATTGTCTGGGCGTTGGGGTACGTTCACTGGTATAGGACCGATCGTGCATATACGGTTCTTGGGTCCCGATCGGCATTCGTGTTACGTTTTCGTCATGTCACAACGCCCCGAAAGGTAAGTACCCCACAATTCATATACATCTGAAAAACATCTCTTGTATATTGGTAATAAATAAAGATAAGTCAACTATTGATATATAGCGGAATAGGTGGATTTTACAGGTATTAAATTCTGTTATCGTTACAGACTATTTCAATTGTCATTCATCAACAGGTAGTAATAAATCAGAAGTAGGCCGGCAAAAATGTTCGTTATGCTCATAGGCAGACGTTTGTCTGATTGGCTAATAAATTCAATTTAATTTTACTGTTTAGAGTACTTTTTAAAGAAAAACAAAAACTAAAAAAAAAAGCTGTATAGAAGGCTTCATTAGAGCTGTAGGACTCCATAGCCAAAATAAGACCCAATTCTCGTCTGTTTAAAAAAGTTAGTATAGTAATAACCTCTCAAATCCAACTTATTACTAATTTTTTAAATTGATGAGAATTAGATCTTATTTTTGCTATGGAGTCCTACAGCTCTAATGAAACTTTCTTCTATATGGGGGTTTTTTTTTTTTACTTTATTATGGTTTGGGTTTCATTTTTTAAAAAGTACTCTAAACTGCATAAATAATGTAAAATTAAATTGAAATTATTAGCCAATCAGACGAACTTCTGCCTATGACCATTATGCCCCTTTACCAGCATAGCGGGTCTTCATTCTGATTGGCAAGTTTATGCAGAGTCTTATTAAAGTAACGATTTTCCGTCACAAGATTAAATTCCAAACCACGAATACGAATTCCGAGTATGACAAACAAAATTAGAAACTTCACGTCTTACTTTATAAGCTGTCAAAGTAATTCGGTAATCCACGAAGTGATTCGGAATTTAGATGAGAAGTATGTCTAAACATCTCAATTTAGCTACAAATCTATTAAGTTTAGTAATTTGTTTCTGAAAGACTTATTTTCCCCAATTTATTTTATTATGTAAGACAGGTACTGTCAGTAAAATAGTTTAGCGAAATAATTTAGTAACAAGACTAGCAACACAAAGTAGTGAAACAATTAGTAACAAGCCTAGCGACACGAAGTAATAAAGTATAAGTTTGTAAATTTCGAGATTAAAACGTGATGCCACGTTGATTATCATTAAGGTTATTAGGGTCAAATAGTTTGATGTCAATAAAACTAGTATTTCTATTAGATGTTTTTGATTTGTTTTTTGTATTTCTATATCTTTTATTTTATTATTTCTGTTTTTTTTTTTTTTTTTTTAAGTCATGTATGTATTTAATAAGCTCTTGGTTTACGTGGATCTTGTTGTGCTGGGCCTATGGTCTTAGATTCTTAATTGTTAGATGTCGTAGGAATGTTTATTAAGGCCAATTTAATCTTATATAAAATATTTTGTTATAATTTAGCTTCATATAAAAATCTTAACGTTAAACGATTTTTGATTATCGATTAACGTTAACCAATCATATGCCATACATTCATTATATTCGTTTCTGGTATACGTATGATATATCAGAAGTGATGATATTACCTATACTAGGAAATCAGAATCTGATATGGAACCAAAGTGATACGTATACACTGTTATAATTGTTACACTGATTACAGATTCATCATTTCTCGAATTTCATTTGTTTTTTAACCCGACATTGCATAGACGTGCATTCACTTTGTTTCGTACGTAGAGGTCCTCACTACGCTTCGGACAATGAAATAAACTTTATTTCTACTTGGAACAATTCATGTATCTACTGCAATTAATGAAACATTACAATTTATTATGAATATTTATCAAATGTAGAACTTTATTGAGTGAAGTAAAAGTTTATATTGTTTTTTTTATTCAGATAAACATTATTTTCAATGCAGTGAACTTTTATTTCCTACAATTAAGATTACCGTAAATGGCCGGATACAAGACTCGGGTTTGTTACCTTCCACCAATTTTAAAACCTTTAATAGACACTAGGTATAGTACATGGCTGAGAGTTTATATCATATTGTGTAAAAATTTGAAATGTATTTACACTTTGCGTTTACAACAGGCAATCTAGATTGTTAAAAAGAACGACATTTAATTAAAGATCCTGCGATTTGCACCTGAGTATAGTACACAGTGGGTCTACTATCGAAGGAGGTTTTTTATCCAGCCGTTTATGGTAGTCTAATTTATAGTTAAGATTAAATAGTTGGTGGAGATTCCCAACTCCAATTTAGCCAATCTCCTAACATTTTCTGAAATTCCCGAACAGTAATCAATTCCATTTTATCAATGTTCTTTTCACCACTTTTTCTAGCCAAAACTTCATTAAACCATGATACAGCTTCTTCAACCTGCTTCCTATTCAACAGTCCAATAACGGTACCATCTGCGCCATCCCATTCCAATGAAAACTGTATGGCCAACTTAGAAATATTAAATCCATTCTCTTTTACATATGATACACATTTAGAAATGATTGATCTTAATTTGTCAGGTGCTGGATGCCACACTGGTGGTGCAGTTTCAGTCAATAATGCCATGCATAAAGGAGAAGCATTCATTAAATATTTTACACCAAGGTTTTTGAACTTTGGAACGCAGGTTGAGAGAAGTGTATTTTGAAGACAGTAGTGAGAATAGGACTGTACAATATCAAGTGGTTGATTATATTCATATTGGATTTCTGCTATTTTGAGAAGTACGTTTAATGGATATCCTACAAGAGAAATATATGTTAATGAAAATATAGTATTATGAATTTCATCACAAAGTACATTTTTACATAGATTTATATAAAATTTTTATGTAAAGTTATATAAAAATTTTACTTAAATATATAAAAAACTTTATGGACCCAATGTAGATTTACTAATTATTTATATAAGTCTATATCGATTTCCATATAGAATTATGTAAAATTTCAAAAAAAAATTTGAAGGATATTAACGTTGGTACATCGAGTGGTGATTATCTGAGAAATGGCCAAAGTAAATTAAATTATTGTAATATAGATATATAAATAAAAATTTATATAAACATTATATTAAGTTATATATAAAAATTCTAATTATGTAATTCTACATTAGGTTTGTAAATCTACATAAAATTTTATATAACATATATAACTTTATAGTGCTATTTAAATTTTATAAGAATCGTACTTTGTGATGTTATTTACAAGTAGAAACCAGAAATTCAATATTAAAGTCTAACCTTGATATAGTCAAAAACTTTGGTTCTATCAAATATCAGAAAACATAAAGCTAAACCCTGTGTAGGCACCATCACCTTAATAATTTTGAATTTTGGTTACAAGCCAATGATTATAGCAAGGTTAGACTGTATTTTATAAATGTCGAATTTCCTAGCCTCTACTTAAATTACCCTATTATATTGGTAACTTACCACAAATCCCAACATATTTAATTTTTCCCTCCTTCTATAAAATATGAACAAAGTTAAAAATGTCATTTTCATCAATTTAAATGTAAGTGCATACCTTTAACTTGAACAATTCCATCAAAGCTCCATCATTGCCAACAACCTTATCGATATCCACGAACTCTACATCATGAGCATACACAACGTCAAGATAATCAGTTCTTAGTCGTCTACAACTTTCTTCAACACTTTCACGAACACGTTTAGGAGAGTAGTCAAAGTCTTTTTTAGTTGAACCATATCTTCCAACTTTTGTAATAATATAATAGTGTGACCGTGGATATTTATCATTGAGCGATGAGAAAATTGATCCGAGAATTTCTTCGCTGTTTCCATAAAAAGGGCTTGTGTCGAATGCGTTTATACCTGAAAAATATAAATAAAAAACTATTTCAATAAAAAAAAAAATTTTTTTTTTTATTACCTAGCTCAAGAGCTCTCGATACAGCATCAGAAGGTGTGCACTTTCCAACTTCGTCAAAAAATCCACCAAATGATGACGTGCCAAATAATATCTTTGATACTTCAAGTTTGTCTTGGTTGACAGGCTAAAATTTTATTAATTCAATATAAACTCAATATAATTTAAGGTAAAAAAAAATATACCTGTGAACTAGTTAAGGACATTTTGATCTCAAATCTGTTGGATAATAATTTGCAGGAGAAAATTCAGATATTTTTTAACAAACTCGGATGTAATCAAATTAAATAAAGTAGCTGAGCACTAAACCGAGAACGGATACGTATGTTGCACGAGATTCGATTTAGTGTTCCACACTGTCCGGTTCGGTCCGGGGTCTATGCAAACCCGGACTCGAACCGAAAGATCGATTCGGGTCTATACCTAAACACGGAACCGAACCGAAACCCGATTAATTATTTGTTAAATGTTATATAAAAATAGCATTTCATAATAAGATCATATAAAATTATATAATAGATATAATACATACTACATAATACATATTTATTATTATTATTTTTTAATATTAAGGTGAGTACTTGCGACCCAGGATTTTTATTAATAGTATATATTGGTTAGCATCTGTTATATAACAAACACAAAAGCAATTATGAAAAGAGTGTACAACTAATCACTTGTGTAACTTTAATCATTGTCTAATTTAAGTAGTCTAGCCAAAGGTTCTATACTAGTTGTTATACCTAGAACTCATTTATAAGTTCTTTATTTAAATACTCTAGATCCTGTATTTACTCTATCTTATCAATGATTCTGATAAACTAGTGAAGATATGTTATGATCATTAAGTCATATTTAATTTTGTATTAAATCCATTAGAGTTTTTTGTATTTTATACTTACAACTGATTCAGTATAATTTTGACTTAAATTAAAACTTGTAGTTAAGATTAATTATTAAATCAATATATCTTTGTAAAGTTTACAAAACTCTGGTATCTATCTTTTTAACATCTCTTTTATTATCTTCTATTAATCATTACTTAGAATTGACAGAATTTTTTAGATTTTCAATTCAGATAATCCAATATAATATATCTTAATATTCTTTTCTTTTAATAATTCTAACAATTTTGTTAGTTTTATGTTTCTCTATATATCTTGTTATCTGATTTATTTGTTTATTTCTTTAAAGATATTTCATAGGTTTTTATCAGTCTAACAGCATTGTTAAAATTTTGTATTATCTCTTTATTTAGAATTTCTAAGTGTAATTCCAACTCTTTAGTTTCTTTGCTTTCTATACTCAGTAGTCTTATTATGAGTTTGCACTAAAGTCTTATGTAATATTAGTTATTAATATTCTCTTATATACATATAATTTTACATTTTATATAGATACCTTGAGTTTTTATTCAAGATAATACAACTAAAAGTTACAAATATACTGATTTAATTAATCAACAAAAATAGTTACTATTTTTTTTTTTCTTTAAGCAGTCACAGTAGTACTTTATTAAACTATTTGTAGCTATATATATAAATACAAAATATTATTAACTTATAAGTCTACCATTATTTGGCCACCTAAATAGTATCTAAATGTGACCTGTTATACTAATCCAGTTAGGATTAGAAATTATGACTTGTCTAATCTTTACTCTATAATAGAATATTGCCAATCTAGAGACATCTTCTTGTAGGGAAGAGAAAAACAAAAAAAAAGAAAATGATTTTAAAATTGTAAAAGGAAGGAATAAAAATAGAAAATAAAATAAAACTAACAAAAAGAAAATAAAACTAATCTATAAGAAAAATAAAAAAGAAAACCTGCTAACAGAATAAAACTCTATTCTATGATTGCTGCTCACTACAATGTTTTTATATTTTTATAGACTATATTATTTTCTAGAAACTAGGTATTCTTAACCAGAATGAAAACTGTATTCACTTGTAAGATGGAGTACAAGCTAGGCATTTTTCATATAAGAGAAATCTTTAAGTAGATAGGGTACTGTGCTAAGATTTGGAGTGCATTTAAGCAGTCCAATTTTTCATAAACTTTTGTAACTATTTTTTTAAAAAATATTATGCACATAACCTTAGAATATATACATATCTCAATATATTTTTGTTCTTTTAAAATTAAATTCTTTTTCAATCTGTTCTACATGAGTAGCCAACTTATATGTTTGTTGTATTTCTTATTTGTCATGTCTAAACAAGCATATAACTGCAAAAGAAAGTGATGTACAATGTTAATCTTTTGATGAGAATGAGCCAAATCTTTACTTTTTTTAAAAAAAATAAAAAAAATATGAAGAGAAAGTATATCATTATTACAAGGGTTCAAGTTAAAGAGAGTTTTTCTAGTTGTTTCTCTTTTTCTTTTGCTTCTAATATTCTTAATCAGAGAACTGATTTTGTCTTTACTTACTTCTAGAATATTTTTTCAGTTTGGATGCTAAATATTTGAGAAAGTCCACCAGATAAAAAGCTTAACTCAAGACAAGAACTGCTTAAGTTTCACCTACTTTTTAGTATATTATATATTTGAACTTTGTTAATAGCAAGTATATTTAATATAAAACTAAGAATATTATCCACTTTAGAGCCAGAGTTTTCAATCTACTTTTGGTGCCAACTTGGTCCAAGTGATTGTTAGAAAGAGTTGATAAATTTTTTTCAAAAATAGTTACTATAATTCAAATATAATTTTTAAAATTTATTATTTATTAGATTTGAACTCTAAACCTGTTACTTAGAAGTTGATAACTTATCTATTTTATTAGGTTATAACCCTTCTTAGATGTATATTTATTATATTATATATATATATATATTTATTAATAATTTATTTTATACTATACCTTATATATTATATATTAACTAATATATATGTATAAATTTAAATTGAATAAAATAAGAGTTGTTAAGAAAAAATGAGACTTTAGATTTTTTTTTTTTTTTTTTTTTTTTTTTTTTTTTTTTTTAACCTTAAGCAGTTACGCTAGTACTT